TGCGGCAGCACACACATCATCCCAGCACCCTGGGAGGCTGAGGCAGGAGGATCACAAGTGCAAATTCAACTTGGGCAAATTATTAATTTAGCAAAAAAAAAAAAAAAAAAAAGGTAGAGGACGTAGCTAGTACAAAGCCTCCAGGTTTAATCTTCACTACTGAAAATAAGGGGGAGATAAAATAATGGGGTGACAATACTACTCCACAGAGTGTTGGGAGGACTTTAGGGCCAAGGATCCTACTGGGCCAGGTACCTGGGGGGAGCCCATCTTGGGAGCAGCACTGACCAGGCAGGAGATTCACTGGCCCCTACCTGTGTGGTATGCAGTCCTGTGCCCTGCCTTGTGTCATTTCTTGGGCCAAAGCCAGCTGTCCCAGCCCCCAAGAACATTCAAGAATGTTCATCATCCCACTATCTTCCTCAGATGGGGAAACTGAGGCCCAGGAGGAGCAAGGACACTCAAGACCCTTCGCCTGTCCAGTGCCAATGGGGCTGCTCTGACTTGCAGGGAAAGGTGTGGAGTGGGGAGGCCAGGCTAACCATGCACCAGGGTAAGACCTGGAAGCCCCTGTAAGAGCTCTTGGCCTGCACAAGGACCCCAAGGAGCAGATCCTCAGGTTGATAGGAGCCTCAAGGGTGAGATCAGAGGCCCTATACATGGTCACTAGCTGGGCTCTGGGCTGCTGAGGGTTAATTAGGGAGGAGGGATGACCAGGAGGGGGTGCAGCCCCTCACCTTTCCTCCCAGGGCCTCTGCACAGGCCACTCCCTTTGCAAGGAACACTGATCCTTTACAGCCAGGCCTGCTCTCGCCTGGGATCATTCAGCTGCTGCCTCCTCTGGGAAGCCTTCCCCAACTCCTCTGGGAAGCAGCCCCCACCAAGGCCAGCTCTGCATGGGGCACACCATTGTCCCTCCCCATATTTTCCCTGCAGAACTTTGCTCACAATGGCAATGAAGTCTTGCAATTCCATTTTGGATTTTACTATTTAGTGCCCACTCCTTCCCTCAGATGCAGCAAGCTCCCTGAGGGCACAGACTGTCCATCTGTCTGTCTGACTCGTTCATAGCATGTTCACAACTCGTTCATAACATGGACTCATGAATATTTAGGTGGTCAATGAATATTTCCCAAGTCCATGGTTGGTGTGGTGGCACATGCTTGTAATCCCAGTACTTGGGAGGCTGAAGCCAGAAGATCATCACAAATTCAAGACCAGCCTGGGCTATACAGTAAGATCAAGGCCAGCCTGACCTATAAAGCAAAACCCTGTCCGAAGAGTCCAAAATGAAAAAGAGAAGTTCAGGGGTGAAATTCAGAGGAGGGAGAGAACGCAGCAGTAGAGAATGCGACTCTGGGTGGGAGGTGTGATGGTAGATGTGGGAGGGGCTTGTGAGGGGTGAGCCGGGGACCCTCCCACCCAGCCTTTTACGGGCCATGGACAGGTCCCATGAGGGCCCACCAGGAGGAAGCAAAGGCTGAAGCTCCAGGCCTCAGTTTCCCCACACCACCACAGTGCCACAGATTCACACCCCGGGGGTTTGGCCCACTGTCCCCTCCCAACCCAAGGGGCTCCCGTGCATGTGCCAAGGCCCCCAAGAGCCCAGCAGGGCAGAGCTAGCCCCAGTGGTCTGCGCTGGGCTTGGAGCTGCTGGCTCCATGCCCCTCAAGCTAGGGGCTGAGCTGAGGGTTTCCTGGACAGGGTGCTTGGCACTCAGGACTTCCTGGCTGAGGGTGGGGTGAGTGTGTACCATTGCCAGCCTGCCTCACCCTCACAGGGGTGGGGAGCATCTTTCACCTACACAGCTTCCTCAGTGCAAATAAGTGCAGTGACTCCCAGCTCCAGCAGTCCCGTGAGGGCTCTGCGGGCTCTCAGAAAGGCAAGGTGACCCCTGACAAGTTGTCACCTCCAAGGACTCTGCAGTAAGTCAGATGCTTTGTATGGTGGGGCCTTGCTCTGGCTTCCCCGCCCAGTCACTCTGCCCTTCCTCCTGCTGCTTTTCCCTGTCCCTGGAGCCCCTTTCCCCAGACTTTCCAGCTTCTACGCATTCTTCAAGCCCCTTATCAGGTGCCTCCTGCCCTGACGACCCTCATCCTGCCCTGGTGTTTCCAGGGAGAGCCCAGCACGATGAGGCTGGGAGACTCCTAGCTTTGTTACTCCCTAGCTGTGGGAACTTGTATAAGTCACTTAACTTCTCCGCACCCTCATGTTCTCCGAAGTCAGTCTTTCAGTATCACTCTCATGTGCATGTAGTAAATGCGTTGGGTGTGGGGGCACTAGGATCTGTAATCCCAGCACTCTGGGAGGCTGAGGCAGGAAGATGGCAAGTTTGAGCTCTGCCAACTCAGAGACTTAGCAAGACCCTGTCTCAGAGTAAAAATTAAAAAAATAGAAAGAGCTGGGGGCAGCTCAGTGTCAAGGCCCTGGGTTCAGTCTTCAGTGTGTGTGTGTGTGTGTGTGTGTGTGTGTGTGTGTGTGTGTGTGTGTGTATACATATATATGTGTATGTATGTATATGCATATTTATATTTATATATATCTGGGCTGGTACCTGGCACAGAACAGGCCCTCCATAGATGGTACACTGTGTTCTGGGCAGGATCTAGTGCCTGGCAGCTCTGTGCACTTACTTGCTGTGCCAGGCTGAGCAGTACTAACTTTCAGGGAGCTGGGAGGAGATGCTATGTTTGTTCAGAGCCTCCTGTCAACAGCTCCAGGCAAAACCACACATCCGGGTTGGGGGGCAGGAGGTGCCGTGCCTCTGGTTGGAAGATCTATTTGCTCCGGGCTCCAAGCCATGGCACCCTGCCGCCAGCACCCAGCCCTAAGGCTGGCAAGTGCAGAGAGCACTGGCCCTGCATGTCCTCACCCAGCCTGAAGTGCTGCCCCCGAGGCACAGGTCTCTCTGCCCCCCAGTACTGTTCAGCCCCTGAGCCCTTGGCTACCAGATGTTTGGAGCCACAATCACTTTGGGTGAGCGCCCAGGTCCTGGTCCCAGCATGGGGTGAAGGTCAGATGGGGCACCTCACCTCACCCTGAGCAGGCCAGGCCCCAGCTGTCCAAGAGCTGTAGAGCACGAGCTGGGTATAAGCGGGCTGAGCTTCCCAGAACACAGCTCCACAGCCCAGATCGGGAGGCTGAGGTTCAGTCCTCTCTGGGCCCCAGGGAGCCACAACTGATCCTGTTCCAGCAAGTGTAGGGCCCAGCCCCGCCAAAGCCCACACCAGTTCTCACCAGATGGCCCCTGGACCCAAGTCCCTCAGACTAGTGCCCCTGCTGATCCCAAGACCAGGGGACAGAGACTGAGTAGCCCCTGTGTCCAGGGGACCACACAGGGCTGAACCCCCCATGCAGCCTGAAGAACAAGGCCCAAGGTCAAGGCAGCCAGCCTGTCCCAGGCCCTGACTTCACATTCTGCCCAGCTCAGGGCCCCAGGTCCTGCATCTTTGGTGCCCAAGGTCTGTGTCCTAACCAACCATCTAGCCAATGCCCCATGCTGTGGGCCAGGGGTTTTACTTTCTGTACTCCTCCAGGGCAGGCGGTTCTCAGGCCCAGGTTGACAAGGCAGCACGGTGAGCTGGAGGTGACAGGCTGGTCGGGTTTATCCTGTGCAGCCTCACTTCCAGGGCTGCCTGCAGGCCCCAGCCCATTCTGCCCATACCTGTAGGACAGATGGGGCCACAGCCGGGCTGCACATGGCCAGGTGACAGCCTGGACCACTTCTGTGTCCTCCTGGCCCATGGGCACCACCACAGCTACAGCACCCCGGGGAGGCCAGGCAAGACACAGGGTCAGCCTTGTTGGAGTGAAGAATGGGTAAGGAGATACTTGGGGACAGGAGAAAGGTCCCAAGCACAAAGCCGAGGAATCTGGGGACACCCTAGAGATCTAGATTACAGACTATGGGCAGGGATATGGCAACCCTCCTGTCACCCACAGCCACATCCCCACACCTTGCACACTCGTGGGTTCACACTTGTCCGTGCTCACCTCACACTCTGCGCACAGGAGCGCTGAGGCCCCTCTTTGGACAGCTCTCAGGAATTAGCCTGGAGCTCTGTCTCCTGCTCAGTCCCCTGTCCCCAAGGCCAGCCCTAGGCCCCAGCCACCCGCCCTCCCTCCCTGGCTGAGCCTGAGAAGGGCCAAGGCGCAGGGCCAGGAGGGGCGTCAGGGTGTGGGAAAGGCTTTCCCCGCCCTCAGCCCTGGAATCCGCTGACCAGAGACAGCCTAATCCCCACTGCCCCGTGGGGCTGCTTGCCCAGGGGGATGGGATGGGGCTGGTGGGGCAGACAGTGACGGTCCTGCAGCAGGCACTGGGCATCACTTGGGACCCCAGAAGGCCAGGGAGGCTTGGGACATCTCCCCCATTCTTGGCTTGAAGAATTTGGGATTTGGGAGGGGAGCAGGGCTGCCACTACTGGGTCTCTAGGGCAAGACCAGGAGCAGCTGTGTTCCCAGATGCGGGAAGGGTCTGGGCAACGGAGGCTGGCAGAGCCTGGCAGGCCCCATGCAGGCGGGGCTGGAAAGAGCAGGGGTGACCTGGCTCATGTTGTTTTGTTTTGTTTTGTTTTTCCAGGGCTGGTGTGGAACCCAGGCCCCCAGCAAGGATGCCTCATTCATGCAGCTACATCCAACCCAGCCCTCCTGGGAAAGGGATGGAAGTGGAGGTCCCCGGGGTGGGGCTGCTGTGCCCTGCCCAGCCCACCCTGCCTATAACCCTGCCTGCTGGCTCGGTCCTCACAGTCACAGCGGGGGGCCATGGCTGCACAGGTCAGTGAGACCTGGGGTCCAGGGGGCCGCACACCCCAGCTGTGAGGGGTGGGCTCCCAGACTGGCTGAGCTCCTCCACTCTGTTGCTCACCAGACCCTAACAGCAGGGGTACAGGGGCAAAGGGCCCCCCCAGAACTGCTGCCTGTCAGGCTCACCCTGTCCCCACCACTTGTCATGAGGAGGACAGTCTCAGGGACATGGTCCCAGGGAGGGACACTGGGGATACATGGCTGGGCAGCGGGGTGGAGGTAGTAGGGGAGCGAGGAGCCGTGCTCCACAGGGCCGGCCCAGTCCCCTTCTTCTTTATCTTCAGTTCGAAGCCTTCTGTGCAGTGGGCCTGGCCTCTGGCTGGAGCCTGATGGTCCAGGGACAGGTTGACTCCAACAAGGACAAGTAAGGGACACTGCCATCCCCTCCTGGACCTCAGGTAGGGATTGCCCAGCCCTGGGCTGCCTCTGTGACCTATACCATGTCCCCAGGTTTGACAGCAACTTCTTGTCTGAGGCGGGGGACATCACCTTCCACATCAAGCCCTGATTCTCCAGTGCCACCGTGGTGGCCAACACCTTTCAGGACAGCCGATGGAGCGAGGAGGTGTCCAGCATCTTCCCCCTGGCCCTGGGGGAGCCCTTCGAGATGACAGGGCCCAGGTGGGTCCTGAGGGAGGCCGGGAAGGAGGTGGCTTCCTGAAGGCCAGCACAGCAGTCCCCCACCCCCGATGAATCTCCCCTGGTCTCAGTCTCCCCTTTTGTGCCATGGGATGCCTACATCTAGCTGTCAGCCCCTCCCTCTTGGCTGGAAGGAGGGGTCCTCAGCTTGATGGCTGGCCTGAGGGTGATTGTCGCACCTTCCCAGATGGAGGTCAGCTCAGACAGTGAGCACTTCCACATGCCCAGGAGCACAAGGTCCTGCAGTCCCCCCCACACCCTCCACCGCTGCCAGAGGCCACTGGGCACCACCCCAGGGTGCAGGTGCTGAGTGACCACTGCCTGGCCCAGGTGGAGGTGGCCAAGTGCAGCCTGAGCCAGGGGTAATGTCCCACCCTGCGCCTCTCTGTCGGCCCTTCAGGGATCTTCTCAGGCTGTGCAGGGGTTGTCACCTGGCCACCCTTTCCCATCCCTCTTCCAGCTGGCCTGCCACACATCTGGCCACAGGAAGAGGTTCCTGTCCTGCCATCCTGCCAGGTCTATGTCCCGGTGCCAGGTCTGAGCAGTGTCCCTCAGTTGTTTACGGGGATGGGAGCTAATGAATAGAGCTGTGCCCGGGGCTGAGCCTTGGATGATCCTGCATCCAAAGTGCCTTGAGCCCACCCTGGGGAAGCAAGGGTCTATGTCCCCCTACACAGGGCCATACCTTCAATAAAGAGCAAACCACCTGGGTGCTTGGCAGGCTGCTATGATTTACCTGGAGGATTCATCAGGCCAAGGGGCCTGGTCCCCAGTGCCTACACCCCCAGATGCCACCTGACCTTTGCCTCATCCTCAGGACAGGATGTCTCTGCAGACATGACCAAGTCCCAGCAGGACCCAGGACTAGTATGTACCGGGGGGCTGGGTCCCTCAGGAACTCCTAGGGCTCCCTGTGTAGGAGGAGGGTGACCCTGAGTGGAGGAAGGGCTGGCCCCACCCTGCCAGACCAGGATGCCACCTGGGAGTCCCCAAAGCATCCTCCTCCCCCTCTTCCTGTTGGGGCCTTTCCTGTTTCCTCTTGTCCACCTGCAAGTGAGACGTGCTCCTGCCCCAGGCGCCTTGTGGTGGTGGGGGTATAAGGAGAGGAGGGGCAGCAGGCAGCTCAGAGCCTCAGGGAGCTGAGCTCAGCAATGGGGGCTCCTAGCTCTGGCCTCCCTGCTTGGCCTTGGGTAAGTCCCTCCTGTCTCTGAGCCCGTACCACACCATCCACAGGAGTAACGGCTCGGCCTCGCCTCCAGGAGGGCTTAGGCTTCAGAAGGCTGCTCAGGAGCCCTGAGGTGGCAGTGATCTCACAGCTCACACCTAGACAGGTTTCCTGAGGTTTTCATGCATGTGAGCTTCAGCGTGACTGCCTTGCTGCCGGGGTCCGCATCTGCCACCGTCTGTGTCCCTGGTGTATCTACTGCGGTCATCCGTCTGTCTGACCTTCACGTCTATCTCTAACTCTAGCTCTAGTCTTATCTATCATCTCTCTGTCTTCTGTCATCTACTCCTGTATCTATATCTATCATCTATTTCTACACTACTGATATCTAATAATCTATATGTATTGTGTAGGTAACACCTATATTTGCAATTTGTATCTACTGTCCGTCATCTCTTTACAATCTATGATCCGATCATCTATTATTGTGTATCTATCATCTATATCTGCAACTGATTTCTACTCTCTATCTACTTATCTATCTATGGTCTCCCCACATACTTATCCTGTGTCTATTTATCTACGTGCCATCTGTCTCAGCCGTCCCTGTGACAGCTCTGGTGAGATACTATGGCCACCACTACGGCCGGTTACCTAAAGTGAGCTTGTGGCCCACGACCACAGGCAGAGTGGAGTGGAAGAGGCCAGGACTTTGGAACAGAGCTCTGGCCCGAGTCCTGGCTCTGCCCCTCTGTGTGGGACCTGGAGCCAGACCCTGACCTCCGGGGCTTCTGTCACCACCCTGGGCTCACAGGGCTGATTCAGGCCAAGCACCTGGAATGACGGCTGGCGCATGTCACAGTGTCACTGCTGTTAACCCGCAGATGCCTGGCAGACAGAGGTTTTACAGATGGGAAACCGAGGCCAGGGTAAGGCATGGGTGGACAGGATCCAGTGTCCTTGCTGTTCTCCAGAGCAGGGGAGACATCTGGGGCCCACAGCCTGGCGCCTGACCCCAGGTGAGACAATGGCGGCCCTGGATTCCAGCTGCGCGGCCTTCTTCCTGTTTCCAGTCCCTGGCCAGGCCTGCTGGCCAGGAGCCTCTTCCTGCTGGAGGCCTCGCCTTTGTGTCAGCCCGCTGGCCCACTTCTGGGGGGTCCAAGCCCGCAGATGTCCCTGCTCCCGGGCCAGGCGCTGGCCTCATGGTTGGCCTCAGTTCTACTACAGGTACCCTCACCAGGGTAGCTCTGCCTCCCCAGTGATATACCAGGATCTCTTCTATTTTCTCTTCTTTACAGGGTGCTGGGAATTAAATGCAGAGCATTACACATGCTAGGCAAGCACTCCATCACTTCCCCACTTTCCAGCCTCCCTCCCAGATTCTCCCCCTCAGGGAACCTTCCCTTACATCAATGCCATGGTTTATTCCCCATCACTTCAGCACTTGTTCCCGATGTCCCTAATCCCAGATTCTGGCTTCTGGATTTACCAGCTCTAGGTTTGCTGGCTTTATCTCCCTGGCTACACAGCAGGCTCCAGGAAGAGCCATGTCTGGGATTCCTGCACCTGGAGTGGGTATATGTGTCAAACTGGGGAAGAAAGAACAAAGACCCATTTGAATCCTTTAAACAATGGGCAGCTCACTATCTCACAGGAGCCGCCATCCCCTGCCAACCCAAAGCAATTTCCAGAGAGGACTTAGGGCTTCTCCTCCCCTGCCTTCTGTCCCATCTCATATCCCAGGGCCTGGGAGTCAAACTCCCTGATACCCTGCAGTGGCCCAAGGGTGTTGGCAGGGGTCAGACGGGCAGCCCCTTGAGCTAGGGGGGCTTCCTGCCCCTGTGTCTGCAAAGCAGGGCACAGCTGGCTAATGAGACCACAGCCTTCCAGTTCCGTCCTCAGCTTTCTGAGACCCCCAGCTGACCCAAGGGGCCCAGCTCTGCCTGGTCGTGACCAAGGCTCAGATGTAGCCGTGACTAAAGGCGGCGGTGGGTCCCAGGCACAGGGCGGGAGGGCAGGGCAGGCAGAGCTGACCGCTGACATCTGGCCTGGAGGGGACAGTGATGATTTCTGCAGATGGTGCAGGCTCCTCCGGGGATGTAGGCTGCGCTAGTGGCCAGATTTGAAGGAAGAGCTGGGAATCCAATCCGAAGAGAAGGTGGGGTCCTGAGCCACACTGAGGGGAGTGTGGACCTCAGGGCCTCAGGAGCCCTTCCCTAGCACCAGGCCTGAGCCAGGGAGTCCCACGGGGTGCAGATTACCAGGCATGGCTCCAGCTCCTCCCTCTCACAGGCCCCAGCTCAGACCTCAGAGCAGAGACAAAACTCTCAGGTGACAGAGTCCTGGACAGCAAGGTGCTCAGAAGGGAAGCAGGGTCTGTGCTTTCCGTGAGGGCCACTGACTCAGACCCCCTAGACCCCTGGGCTGAGATGTGCACATAAAACACACCCTGAACTTCATACACTCATTACAAAGAAATGGAAAATGGCCTGTTTATACTGATTACATGTTAAAATGATAATACTTTTGATATCTAAGGTTCAATAAAATCAGTAATAAAACTTGTTTTGTTTTGGTCTTTGAGATAGTGTCTTACTTTCTAATACAGGATGGACTTGAACTCACTATGTAGCCCAGATTGGCCTCAAACTCACAGTGATCCTCCTGCCTCAGCCTCCCCAAGTGCTGAGATTAGAGGCGTGCGCCATTGTTTTCTGTTTGTTTGTTACATGGTCTCAGTATGTAGTTCAGGCTGGCCTTGAACTCATGACAATCCTGCCTTAGGTTCCTGATGGCTGGGATTATAGATGTGTGCCACTGTGGCCAGCTATAATTAAAACTTATTTCACCTACTCCAAACAAATGTTTAAGCATGGCCACTGGAAATTTTTAATTTATTTTTTCAGCCCTGGGGGTTGAACCCAGGGCCTTCACACTGAGCTACATCACCATGATTTTTTTGTTTTGTTCGGGTCTCTATAAGTCACTAAATTGTCCAGGCTGGGCTTAAACGTGTGATCTTTCTGCCTTGGCCTCCTAGAGTGCTGGGGATCATAGCCTTGGCCCACTACCCAGCTCCTTAAGGAGGCAGGAGGTAGGTCTGTGACCCTGAGAAGAACAGGCCTGGCCCAGGCCCTGTGAGGCCCCTGGGGCCCCCAAGGCACAGACTCGTGTGCCCAGGCTTGGAGGAGCAGCCGGCCATGAGCAGCTCTGGGTCTCTGGCCCTGGTCATGTGTGTGTCCCCACATCACACTCCCTGTGTCCCCAGCTGCCACAGGCCACCCGCTCACCCGCTGTGGCCAAGTATCTGGCTTTGAAACTTGCTTGCTCCCGCCAAGGCAGTTGGGAAAGACCCAGGGGAGCCACCAGCTCCCAAAATAACTTCACACCATCCCAGGACATGTGCAGGGGCGGAGGAGTCCCCAGGGGGAGGGGCTGCACAAGGGCATGAGGGTGGGGCGGACACGAAGAAGAAATCGGGTGGGGTGGGACACCCCAGAAGAGGGTGGGTACCCATGTGACCATCCCTCTCAGGCCGGGCAGCCCCTGTTGTCCCGGAGGGAAACTGAGGGAGGCTGGAGAAGTTGTCCGAGACACTCAGCCTGCGGGTGGCAGTGCAGACCAGCCTGGCTGGGTACTCTGCCTCCATCCTTTCTCACTCGGCCACCACTTACCCAGCTGGCCCACAGGCTCTGGCAGAGTGTCCTGCTCCTGCCTGGGTCCCTGAGGCATTGGGAAGTGTCCTCGGAGCAGTGAGGCCAGCACTGGGCAGAGCTTTCAGAACTTCCCCAGCTTGAGGTGGCCAGAGCGCAGGGGACGGCCCACACCTGGGTGATAACTATAAATTGAGGGGAGGGAGGGGAAACTGAGTCATAGAAGGAACACCTAGAGAGCTGGCTGTCCTCCTGGCCGGGCCCAGCCCAGAGGTGCCTGGGCAGCAGAAACTGATGGGTGGTCTTTAGAAACTAAAGGGCTTTTGCTATAAGACCCCTCTTCGCAGTCCCACAGATCAGTCATTTAGTCATTCAACAAACTTTATTAAATCCTCACTGTATACTGGGAGCTGAGGACCACAGTGGACGAGGAAGATAATCTGGATGAAAGCCTGAGATCTGGAGCGGGCAGCCCAGACCCCATGTTCCTCAGGGAGAGAGGCACTCACTCCAGAAGGGACAGTGCCCGTGAAGTGGTAGCGACCATCGCTCCCCACCGCTTTGGAGCCCTGCTGGTTCTGTGCCAGGCAGATGATATTGCAATGTGAACACAACAGAGCCAGCACGTGCGGATGACTCAAGGGTGGACAGAGACCTTCTATGGACAGGAGGCTGGAGCAAGGCCACGGCCAAGAGGGAGAGGGGTGACCTGAGGAAACCCAGGGGCCACCGAGCAGGCAGCGGCACAGGCCCTAGGGACAAGAAGACGACAACCAAGGCAGGCTGGACACCAAGCCCAGGACAGGCCCCAGGGACACTTTGGGGGACAGGAAGGAGTTCGATGGAGAGGCAGGAGAGGGGTGAGGAGCAGGTAGACGTGATCCAGGGTGTTGTGTCACAAGTGAGGGTCACAGGAGATCCAGGCTGGAGGCCCCAAAGGGCCCTTGGGCCTGAGACAGAGACCCCTGCCCTCCCCCCTTGCCTCTGCCTTCCCACTGCTAGCCCAGGACCCACATCCTGGGGGTCCTGGCAGCCTGGAGAGGGGTCTGGGTACACCAGAGTTCACCTCACTCGCTCTCATCCTGCTCTCAGGACCACCTCTACCCCAACCTTCTATCCCCACTTTGACTGCAGCACTCACTTCCCTGGGCCGGGCTGGGACACAGATTCTTTCAAAAAAATTTCCTTTGCAAAATAACTATTTGAAATATGTTTTTGGAAACAGCCTCCCGATCTGAACAGGAAGACGTTAATTACAGTCCCGCAAGGGGTGCAGGAGAGGAAACGCACTGGTCAGGAATAGGAGCAAGGGCCAAGTCGCAGCCACTCGAGACCTGGCCCACACCCAGCCGCACAGCCCCTCGCAGCCAGTCCCTCTAACCTCAGCTGCCAGACGGCCTCAACAGGACGCAGAGGGCCAGGAGGGGCAGTGGCAGGGCCAAGGTCACAGGTCAGAGGCAGAGCAGGGCGGGGCCCGCTCTGCTGCTGCAGTGTTGGGAGAGTGTGACAGGCGCGTGTGTCTACGTGTGCATGGGCGGAAGTGGCCAGGCCCAAGCTGAGCCAGAAGCCACACTGTATGCTGACCTCCCTGGGCTGGAAGTGAGTCTCCTCCTGTGGGTGCAGAGCAGGAAGGAGACGGGGCTGAGGTCCCCTTTCTGCTCATGCTCTGAGACCCCAACTACCCTCCACACAGAGGCTGCCTGCATCTCTGGAGGGTCCCATGTCTGTGTCCATCTCAGGGAGTGCCGATGATCATGTTCTGGTTCATATACTCTGACTGGTACTAGACATTGGGGTCATCGTGGAAGTCTGAGGTGCCTAAGTCCTGGCTTTTGCTTAAACCTCTAGTCAAGGATCATACCACTGGCCTTCAGCAGCAGGGCTAGTCTGAATGTTCATACAAGGAATGATCCTAGAGGCTGTGTATCTGCTCATTCTTTTACTCATCCATCCATCCATCCACCATCCACCGACTCATCCACCGTCCATCTATTCATCCAACTTTCCACCTTCTACCCATGCATCCATCTACCCACCATCCACTCATCCACCATCCACTTATCCATCCATCCATCCATCCATCCATCCATGTTTCTACCCATCCACCATCCACCCACCAATCTATCTGTCCATCCACCCACCCATCCGTCTATCCACTCATCCATCCATAAGTCTCTGTCCTTTTACCCATCCATTTACTCCTGTACCCATCTACTAATTCTCATACTATCTATCCACCTGTCTGTCTAGGTCAGGGCAGAATGTTAACAAGGAGAAGATCCGACAGAATTATGGAGGTTGCAGCAGGGTATAGTGGAGTCCCAACTCCTTCCCTTCCTCTGGTTAGACATTCCTCTTCCCTGAGGCTCCTTCCCAGAACCATCAGTTATTGTCACATCCCCCTATGGAGGAGTGGCTTTTTCTGCATCCCCAACCTGCCCAGAGAGGGGCTTCTGGAGGACCAAGGCCATCTCAGCTGTTCTGTCTCTGGCACAGGCCCCAGAAGCCTGGCAATGTTTTCAGAGTGGACTCAGACCCCTTGTGGCCAGTAGGGTGGTTCCTGCCTCTTTGGGGACAGCACAGGGGCGGGGTGGTATAGCCCAGGGAGTGGAGGGGACATGCAGACCAATGGGATCTGGAGTGTGGATGTGCAGACCTTGGGAGCCCACAGGCTCCTGTACCCTTGCGAGCTCAGCGCAGGTGCAAGCCGGGTTTCAGACAAGGCTGTGGGAAAAGACCCTCTGCAAACCCCGCGCAGGTCACAGGGGCCTCTTAGGGGAGTTTCTCACCCTGGGGCCAGGAGAGAGCCCTGGACAGAGCCCAGGATGATCTTATGAGGAAGAAA